GTTCAATTTTATTACAAATGGAGAAACGAGTCACGATACAATTATCAAACGTAAGACAAAACGAAATCCATTTACAAGTTGTTGTTGTTCAAGTTTATTACAAATGGAGAAACGAGTCACGATACAATTATCAAACGTAATACAAAAGACTCAAAATACAAAAACGAACTACAACCTCCAAATGACTTAAGATTTTAAGTAAATCCTAACCATAAGAACATGAAGATTTAGTAAGATTTCAAAGTTTGTGGATCAAGTTTAAACCAAGAAATGAGATGGTGAATGACCAAAATACCCTTATAAGGACTCTAAGATATTTTCGAAGTTTTATGGAACTCCAAATGTTATGAAACCTTATAAGAGACTTATGTATGACGGATAATTATGCAAGATCTCAAGGATACTAGAATATTTTTGGGACATAAGCCAAAGCTTAAGGAAAATGACAAAACTACCCCTAATAACCATCTCATAAGATTCAGGATCCTTAGAATCTCAAGAGCGGGTTAATAATGTCATTCTTGTTATTATGAAAAGTTTATGACTTATGGTAAGATTAAAAAAATTCAAAATTCAAATATCGCTGGAAATCTCGTGTTTCGGTGAGGCATTATCAACGCGAAGATAATTACCCATCCAAGAGTTATCTAAGAGAGAAATTGAGAAGGTTATATCGACGAGAATCTCAAATTCCATGATGATTTATTAAAAATAAGACTCACTACTCTGTGAAGTAATCTCACACACACTAACGATAGAACGCTTCGATATCGTTTTGTGAAAATACTACTCGCGGACTTGTGAAGGAAATGTAGAGAAGGGAGAGACAAGGAGACAAAAAAAAAACACCGATCTCTTTTGCTCTCTTTTGCTCTGACTTTATAGGAAAAGGATTAGGTATTTATACCTTTTCTAACACTAATAATAGGGTAAGAGAAAGACTCATAAACCCCTACTATCATTCCCTAAAAAAAATAGCCTTTTCTTTCACATAGCTTTTTCAAATTTACTTTCCTAACCTAACAAATTAAATGCATTTGACATTTTAAGTTTATTTAAGCAAAACTCCCCCATAAAACTTCAATACTTTTGCCATTTGTCATGTTAATCATCTTCTTGTATTTGTCGAAAAATACTTTCGGTAGCGGTTTTGTAAAGATGTCCGCAACTTGATCCTGACTTGCCACATGCAGCAATTAAGGGTGTACATATCAACACAACAACCCAGACCAACCCAACCCAAGGTTGGGTTGGGTTGGATTAGCATTTTGAGTAGGATTGGGTCTATTTTTCTAAACTCGAATTATATTAAAAATATTTCTTTGGTCAGTTAATTAAACTCACACCAAAGTTCGAATGAAAATTATTATTTCACACCCGGAAAATTATTATTTCACCCCAAGTTGGAATTTATATGAATGACAATAATTTTTTTATTATTTAAAGATTTTATTATTGTTGGAATCCAAGAAAATACTTTTTTTTTTTTTTTTTTTTTTTTTTTTTTTTATTTATTTATTTAAAGATACCAAGAAAATTATTATTTCCCACCCGGAAAATTATTATTTCACACCCAAGTTCGAATTTATATGAATGACAATAATTTTTTTTATTATTTAAAGATTTTATTATTAAACTAAGACAACAATTCTATTTTTTTATTTATTATTTTAGGAATTAGTTGGGACTGAATTTATTTAAAGATTTTATTATTTTATTATTAAACTAAGACAATAATTTTATTTTTTTATTTATTATTTTAGGAATTAGTTGGGACTCAATTTATTTAAAGATTTTATTATTAAATTAAGACAATAATTCTATTTTTTTATTTATTATTTTAGGAATTAGTTCGGACTCAATTTATTTAAAGATTTTATTATTAAACTAAGACAATAATTCTTTTTTTTTATTATTATTATACGCCCAAGTTCGAATTTAAATTTAAAGATTTTATTATTTCACTCGCAATTCGAATATAGGAAAATATATATTTTTTTAAATTTAAAGATGTTATTATTAAACAATAATTCTATTTTTTTATTTATTATTTTAGGAATTAGTTAGGATTCAATTTATTTGAAGATTTTATTATTAAAGAAACACTAATTCCAATTTTTTCTATTTATTATTTATTATTTTAGGAATTAGTTAGGATTCAATTTATTTAAAGATTTTATTATTAAAGAAACACTAATTTTAATTTTTTTATTATTATTTTAGGAATTCGTTAGACTCAAAATGGTATGAATAGAAAATTAGTTTAAATATATTTAAAGATTTTATTATTAAACTAAGACAATAATTCTAAATTTTAATGTGCTTATGTTATTAAACTAAGACAATAGTTTTAAATTCTAATGCGTTTATTTTCTATTTGTTGCACCTTTATTATATCACAATTATAAGTTTTGGACTCTTTATTTTTAGCAAAGTCACGTGTAACTAAGCATATTTCAATTAATATATATATATATATTTTGTTATATAAATATCTTTAAACTAATTATTTTTATTATTTATTTAATTTTATGATATATTCTTGTATTTTTTCCTATTTAACTAATTTTCAAAAAATGTGAGCATTTAGTGGTCATGTTGAACTATGTTTATATGTTAAAATTTTTGCTAGTTATTTTTTATTTTTTATTTTTCTTGTTTTTGTGAATAATTATGTATTGATTTTTGTTTTTTTATTTATATATAACATCTTTAAACTAATCATTTTTATTGTTTATTTAATGATATATTCTTATATTTTTCCTACTTTAACAAATTTTCAAGAAAGGTTGGTATTGAGCTGTCTTTAGTTTTATGACAATGTTGAACTATATTAATATGTTACAATTTTCGCTCGTTATTTTTTATTATTATTTTTTTTTTGTGAATAATTATGAATTAATTTGTGTTTGTTTAATATATTTTTATATAAAATTGTATCCGAATAATTATAAATTATGGATAAATAAAACTTAAAAAAACAAATTTGACAACCCAACCTGGACCCAACCCGAACCCAACCCGAAAATAGAGGGTTGGGTTACCAATCCAACCAACCCGAACTTTTGGGTTGGGTCAAAAAAATCCGTCAACCCAACCCAACCCGGACCAACTCCTAGCAGCAATTCCACGCTTCCTTCTTTTACATGATCTTAGATAAAATGAGATCGAACATCAATGTGTTTACTTCTTTCATGGTTCATTGGGTTCTTTGCCAACTCAATTGCTGATTTGTTGTCAACTTGAATCATAGTTGCACCTCGTTGCATTAACTCCATCTTGCTCAACAAATTTCTAAGCCATATCGCGTGAGACACACACCAAAATGCTGCCACATACTCAGCTTCACACGTCGAGAGTGTCACAATCGGTTATTTCTTTAAAAGTCAAGTAAATTTTGTGTTGCCCATGAAGAATACATAACCCAATGTATTTTTTCGATCGTCTATGTCTCCGAACCAATCATTGTCAGAGTAACCAACTAATTTGTAATCTTCTGTTTTCGAGTAGAATAACCCAAGTGACACTGTTTCTTGGATGTACCGTAGGACTCTCTCAACGCCTTCCAATGTGAATAAATCGGCTCCTCCATGAACCGGCTTATAATGCCAACACTTAATGAAAGATCTGGCCTTCGTGCACGTAAGATAGCGAAGGCTTTCTACCAGACTCTGGTACCTATTTGCATCTACTCGTTCTCCTTCATCGTACTTTGAGAGTTTTGCACCTGGTTCCATTGGTGTTGATACCGGGTTACAATTTTTCATCTTGTATTTCTTCAAAATCTCCTTTACATATTTCTCCTGTGATATAAAAATACTCGTCTATCCTTGTTTAACCTCCAAACCAAGGAAAAACTTCAACAAACTCAAGTCTGTCATCTCAAATTCTCGTGTCATTGTGTTTTTGAACTCTTCTATTATTTCATCATTGTTGCCGGAAAAGATGAGGTCATCGACATAAATAGCGACAAGTATCACATTACTATAAAAAATAAATTTGCTATGATATTAATTTGTAGAAACTGACTTGTAGAAAGTGGATGCTCGCTTCGAAACCAACTCGTTTAGATAAATCTCACCAAACTTTGAAGGGGTGTCTAGAGGGGCGAGACAAGGATACAAAGAATTCTCAAAAGCCTCCTTCTATTACAGTCTAGAGGGGAGAGACAAGGAGACAAAAAATTCTCAAAAGCCTCCTATTACACTTTGTGCACTACTCTTTTTTTTTTTTTTTTTTTTTTTTA